TGAATAATCAATAGGTATGTGCTAAAATATGATATAGTTTAGGAGAAATATCGACATTATACCACAGAACAAAAATCATTTAATGATCATTTTATATATGTTAAGGCTTATATGTCGCAATCGGAACAGAAATGGGAAATGCCAATTCACTGATGACAATATCACATTGCACACAGTTCAAATAATCCCTTCCAGAAAACAGTCATTCGAAAAAAACCACATGGAAATTTCTCCAATTCATTCATTTAATTTTTGTTATTTGTTCATGATATAATGATGGTTCAGAAAAAAGTATCATCATCTTGCGAAAGATAAAGGAGCATCTAGTGAACATTGTATGTTAAAGCTGACATGTCGCAATCGGAACACGATCGAGGCGAAATATGTCGAAGATGGATAATCCAAACGGAAACTACCGACTGGAGATCGCTATGACATCATTAGTTGATATTGTGACGTCACGCCTTTGTCTAACATTATCTCAGCCAGCTACAGCAGCACTGCAGTACGCTCTTCATTTATCGAGATTATCTAAAGATTATGCCAGTCACCAGACGCCTGACCATGTCTGAGTGTGAGGGATTTGATCCCGAGGTGGCGGAGTGTTTTGCACGTACAGAACCGACAGGTGAGTCAGTATATACAATAATAGAATCATCCCAAAAGCTGAAAAGGGTCTCGCCGACATATAACTGGAATATTGCCGAGTGCGGCGAAAACTAAACACACTCACTCACTGAAAAGGGTCTAAGATCCAGACACTATATTTCTGTATTTCATAGGCTTGATGTATTTGCTTTCCACTTGTCATACTGGTTTGAATTTTTTACCAAATTCTGTTATTGTTATTTCAGAGATTCATGATGCAGTTCCCAAACACGTCACAATAAAACCAAAACCAGTCGCCAGACGTCTGACCATGTCCGAGTGTGAGGGGTTTGATTCCGAGGTGGCACAGTGGTTCGCACACAGAGAACTGAAAGGTGTGTGTGTGTCATAAATACCTTTAACTTTCGTATCCTTCCAACTTTATTTGAAAACAATGGTTTCTATTATTTTCCTTTATTCAACACACGGTTGTACATGTGCTTTTTAGGCCTACGATTCATTTGAAAAATAACTTTCTGTATCAACTGTTATGTTTCTACCTTTTTTCCTTATTCAACCAGAGACCATATAATAGATTATATGGTCTCTGATTCAACACAGAAGATGTATATGTGCTTTTGTAGGCTTATGATTTGATTGATCACATACTAAATTGGATTATTGTGTTTCCAGAGTTCCACGACATGGTTCCCAAACACGTCACGATAAAACCAAGACCTATTCGGCCACAGCCTCCATTCCAATGGGACTGTTGTCAAGAGGACAAACAACAAGTCAAAGAGCACGAGCTCCACGTGCAGCTGACGGCTGTCCTGGCCGAGGTGGACACTCTCCGGGCTGACCTACGAGATGCTCGACTCCGCTCCAAATGTCTGAAAATGAAGAATCAACATTTCAAGACACAAGTCAGACAACTGTCGGATGAGAAAGTCTCCCTCAGGGAGCAGGTGGACCGCTTGTTGAAGGAGGTGGACATGTTGAGAACTGAAAGATTGTTTGCACTTTCTGGAGCTGGAGAAGGTGTTGGACTTGTTCAGAGGTCAGGGGCTACACAAACCTCATGCTCTGACCACATTGTGTATCCTAAACAAGACAATACGTCAACAAGACATCATGAATTCTCTCAAAATAATCTCACATCAAAGAAGCATATGTCATTCAGTACAGCCAGTGTGATCGAAAATTGTAATCAGAAACGAAATGTACAAAAGCCAAAATCAATCTTTCATCGTTTTACCAAACTGTTCAGAAGAAACAAATCCTAATGTAATTCAATCCTTTTTCATTGATGAAAATAACAACTGGTACAATTCATAAGCAATGTTTCAGTTGTTTGTATACACATGTCTGCGTCTAACAGCTACAAGATAAGTTGTATGGTTGCTGTTTAACACCACGCTCAGACATGTTCCTGCTACGGCTTGTAAATCCAGTGGAAGCGGTGGGGTAGCCTAGTGGTTAAAGCGTTCGTTCGTCACGCCGATGGCCCGGGTTCGATCCCCACATGGGTACAATGTGTGAAGCCCATTACTGGAATATTGCTAAAAGCGGCGAAAACTTAACTCACTCACTGTAAATCCAGTGATTGATACTGTAAGCAATAATCCATGTCTGTACTCTGTTTGATATTAGATGCCACCCACTTACCAAGTCACCTAGCCTAACAACCATAGTTGTTTGGTGGTCTCAAATGTCAAGCATATGTTTTATGGGGTCGTTTTTTCTAACCCCGAATCTCTCCCTGGGCACACAGCAAGAAGATATAGGAAATTAGCAGCATCACACTTCACTTGAACATCCATTCCTGGGTTATTGTGAGATTACTCTAATTTGTTGTTCGAGCATGGTGGCAGCGAAAATAAAATACAGACTACATCTGAATCGAACTCGGCTTGGACGCATTTAGGGACCGTTCATAATTTATGGCTAGGGGGTGTGATGATGATTTTTATGGAGAAGCATGTACAATGTGAATGACCCCCCTAGAATGTATGTACAAAATAAGTGACCCCCCTGCATGTCATGTACAAAATCAGTGATCCCCCTTCCCTACCCATATTAAACATTTTATGTACAAAATTGATGACCCCTAGTATGTGTGTGTACAAAATTGATGACCCCCTAGCTCGCCAGAACAAAATGGGCGATACCCCTTAAAATCATCATCACCCCCCGAGCCATAAATTATGAACGGTCCCTTAGAGCGAAAGCTTTAAACCAATGGACTACTCAAACAATCAATCGACTATTAAAAGAAATAGCAAGGATACAACATAGCTTACATTGAGTTTGGTTTTTTAAACAAGACTAAAGTCTGTTTGCAGTGAAAACGTACCGATGAATGTCAGTTTAAACCAAAACGTAAAACAAATAAAGTGAAATTAAGACTGTGAATCCTCATGATTTTACCTTGCCAATTGAACATTTAAATCTCAGAATTGTATTCGACTTAGGATAAAAGTTGTTTAACAAACGATCATAGTTTCTCATGGCTATTATTGGTTTGTCTTACAAGGGGGTATGCACATCAAATGAAACACCGAAAACGACAAGGTTTGTTATAAGTTAGCGCTCTTCACGTACCGCACGTACATTTGTTTCACTGTTCCAACTACTGCGCTTACCCCCTTGTAATACAAACAAACAACTTTTATCCTAATTTGAATAAAATTTTGAGATTTAAATGTTCAATTGGCAAGGTAAAATTATGAGGATTCGCAATCTTAATTTCACTTTATTTCATTTACTTTTTTGTTTAAAGTGAAATTCATCGATACGTTTTCACTGCAAACAGACTATAGGTGTGTAACGTTCTGTGTGAACGGTGGGACACACCCTTGGTACATGCCTTGGAATCATCTGAACTGATTATTCACCATAAACAGAAAGACGAGACACATTTCCATAATCATAAAGAGTTGCTGCTGAAAGTCTGATTGCAGCTATATCATATGCACAGTTTTCCTAGATATTATTGAGAAAATCTTTGTTTCCATCTTTCTGATAATAGAATTTTAAAATAGGTGTTACATTATGTAGTAAGGTACTCAATATGGGAGGCAACACTTGTAGGCTTGAGAATGAACCTCACTTCATCAAGAGTTATCTCCCCTGATGAAACAGGCGGCTTCCTTTGTTGACATGGCAGATTTGACAGCAAAAGAGAAAAGTAAGCTGGTTCCAGATGATTTTAAAAGGGTGTGGCAAATGCAAAAGAGTTAGCTGGTAGACATGACATTCCTCTGTCTATAGTATACAAAAACGTTGAAGAATATTCAGTCAGGGGTTGGGATTGAGTACAAGACAGGGGCAGGGAGGCCAAGGAAGTTCAAAACTACGGATCGACGGCGACTTGGTCAGATTGAGAGTATGGGAAAATTGAAAAGCGTTGAGAATATCAGAAATGAGATGATTAATAGAGGAAGTCCTCAGGTATGTCATGAAACCCTTCGACAAGAATTACAAAGACTTAACTGGGTGAAAAAGCGCGGAATTCCCTCACCACTGATGAACGGTGCACAAAAAAGACGTTTAAACTGGTGTAGGGCTCACGAAAATCAAGATTGGGATAATGTTTTCTTTTCTGATGAAAGTTCTGTCAAAATTTGGACAAACGATACCTTGAAACCTATCTACCAACGCCCAAATCATAGCCCGAAATTTGACATGAGGGGTAGGATATCATCACGTGGAGTTACGCCGTTGTGTATTTTCATTTAGCTTTGTGAAATAGTAGGTCTGTATCAAATGTTGTACTGCACCTTTCCTATTAACAAAGAATCCATTACCCAAATCTGAAAATAATCAACTTAGTAAATAATTGTTATTATCAACAACTTTGACTTTTTCCAGAGTTCAAGAAATGCAATTTTAAAAGTCGAAAAATTAAAATGGCAAAATACAACTTTGCACTGCATCTCTCCTATAGATATGGAGGGTGATCCCCAAATTTGAAAACAATCAATTCAAATGTGTTCAAAGTATTGGTTGAACAAAATACTTTTCAAGTTGTTGTTTGAAAAGCCTTTTCAGTTCAACTTTGTAAATCGCTGTAATTCTGGAGAGGGAAAAAGTCAAAATCACAATTTGCATTGCATTAAGTTCCTTTTAAATTTTTTGTGGTAATGTTATGAATAATCAATAGATATGTAATTATTATATAATGATGTTTAGGTGAGAAATATCGATATTATACCACAGAGCACAAAGCATTTAATGATCAATGTATGTATGTTATAAGGGTTATATGTCGCAATCGGAACAGAAATGTGAAATGTCAATTCACCAATGACAATTCGAATAATCCCTTACCGGAAAACAATTTCATTCGGGAAAAACACATGAAAATATCTCCTATTCATTCAATTAATATTTGTAAGGATGACATATTTGTTCATGATATAATGATGGTTCAGAAAAAAGTATCGACATCATACCAAAGATAAAGGAGCATCTAGTGAGCATTGTATGTTAAGGCTGACATGTCGCAATCGGAACACGATCGAGGCGAAATATGCCGAAAACGGATAATCCAAACGGAAACTACCGACTGGAGATCGCTATGACGTCATTCGGTGATATTGTGACGTCACGCCATTGTCTGACATTGTCTCAGCCAGCTACAACAGCACTGCAGTACGCTCTTCATTTATCGAGATAATCCAAAGATTATGCCAGTCACCAAACGTCTGACCATGTCTGAGTGTGAGGGATTTGATCCCGAGGTGGCCGAGTGTTTTGCACGTACAGAACCGACAGGTAAGCGTGCTCTTATATATAATAATAGACTTCATACCTACAGCTGAATATCCGTGACGATCCGGGTTAGAATTGACCTTCAGTAACTCATGCTTGTCGTAAGAGGCAACTAACGGGATTGGGTGGTCAGGCTCGCTGAATTAGTTGACACATGTCATCGTATCTCAATTGCATAGGTCGATGCGCAAGCTGTTGATCACCGGATTGTCTGGTCCAGACTCGATTATTTACAGACCGCCGCCATATAACTGGAATATTGCTGAGTGCGGAGTAAAACTAAACACACTCACTCACTCACTGAAACGGGTCTAAGACCCAGACACTATATTTCTGCATCTCATAGGCTTGATATATTTGCTTTCCACTTGTCATACTGGTTTGATTTTGTACCAAATTCTGTTATTGTTATTTCAGAGATTCATGATGCGGTTCCCAAACACGTCACAATAAAACCAAAACCAGTCGCCAGACGTCTGACCATGTCCGAGTGTGAGGGGTTTGATTCCGAGGTGGCACAGTGGTTCGCACACAGAGAACTTAAAGGTGTGTGTGTGTCATAAATACCTTTAATTTTCGTATCCTTCCAACTTTATTTGAAAACAATGGTTTCTATTATTTTCCTTTATTCAACACACGGTTGTACATGTGCTTTTTAGGCCTATGATTCATTTGAAAAATAACTTTCTGTATCAACTGTTATGTTTCTACCTTTTTTCCTTATTCAACCAGAGACCATATAATAGATTACATGGTCTCTGATTCAACAAAGAAGATGTATATGTGCTTTTGTAGGCTTATGATTTGATTGATCACATACTAAATTGGATTATTGCGTTTCCAGAGTTCCACGATATGGTTCCCAAACACGTCGCGATAAAACCAAGACCTATTCGACCCCAGCCTCCATTCCAATGGGACTGTTGTCAAGAGGATAAACAAAATGTCAAAGAGCACGAGCTCCACGTGCAGCTGACGGCTGTCCTGGCCGAGGTGGACACTCTCCGGGCTGACCTACGAGATGCTCGACACCGCTCCAAATGTCTGAAAATGAAGAATCAACATTTCAAGACACAAGTCAGACAACTGTCGGATGAGAAAGTCTCCCTCGGGGAGCAGGTGGACCGCTTGTTGAAGGAGGTGGACATGTTGAGAGCTGAAAGACTGGGTGTACTTTCTGGAGCTGGAGAAGGTGTTGGACTTGTTCAGAGGTCAGGGGCTACACAGACCTCGTGCTTTGACCACATTGTGTCTCCTAAACAAGACAATACGTCAACAAGACATCATGAACTCTCTCAAAATAATCTCTCATCAAAGAAGCATATGTCATTCAGTACAGCCAGTGTGATCGAAAATTGTAATCAGAAACGAAATGTACAAAAGCCAAAATCAATCTTTCATCGTTTTACCAAACTGTTCAGAAGAAACAAATCCTAATGTAATTCAATCCTTTTTCATTGATGAAAATAACAACTGGTACAATTCATAAGCAATGGTTCAGTTGTTTGTATACACATGTCTGCGTCTAACAGCTACAAGATAAGTTGTATGGTTGCTGTTTAACACCACGCTCAGACATGTTCCTGCTACGGCTTGTAAATCCAGTGGAAGCGGTGGGGTAGCCTAGTGGTTAAAGCGTTCGTTCGTCACGCCGATGGCCCGGGTTCGATTCCCCACATGGGTACAATGTGTGAAGCCCATTACTGGAATATTGCTAAAAGCGGCGTAAAACTTAACTCACTCACTGTAAATCCAGTGATTGATACTGTAAGCAATAATCCATGTCTGTACTCTGTTTGATATTAGATGACACCCACTTAACCAAGTCACCGAGCCTAACAACCATAGTTGTTTGGTGGTCTCAAATGTCAAGCATATGTTTTATGGGGTCTTTTTCTAACCCCGAATCTCTCCCTGGGCACACAGCAAGAAGATATAGATCAACATGAACATATAGGAAACTAACATCATCACACTTCACTCAGGCATTCTTTCCTGGGTTCCTTCGATATACAGAGAGAAACAAATAAAGAAACACAGGAAAATTCAAGCGTTCCTTTTCCAGTTTTCATCACCAGTTTTGAATAGCGCTATGGGGGGAGTCTGAGAATAAATAAAGGAACACTGACATGAGGTGGTGTTTCATTATTTATTTCCCTCAGTATATTACTCCAATTTTAGCAGTATTGTTCAAGTATGGTGGCAGTGATTCATTCAATATTGGGAATCGAGGACGCATTAAGATTGAAAGCTTTAACCAGTTTCTGCCTAACGTCAGTTGAACGGTTGCAACTGTTTCATAAGTATGTGATTGTAAATCATTAATAAACAGAGGTGATACCAGGTGTTTAAGAATAGGAGAACGTATCATGCCTCCCAATGGCAGTAACACATGCACAGGCACGTCAACTATTCACCTGAACATACCCAGGAACATCTGATACTCATAAGAATAGGGAACACGTCAGACACCATAGGGAAAATCTTCAACATGTGGAAAATAGGTTTGGGAATAGCTAGTTCGCCTATCTGTATCGACTGTATCAAATGAATAGCAAAGCAACAGTTTAGCTTTTTCATAGATCTATTAATGAACTGATTGTGTGATATCTGTCATGAAGTTCTGACGCATTTGGACCAATTGATGTTAGTCAGGTAGTAGTATAAATGTGATGTTCTAGCGGCGAAACTACCTTTAGGGAGACCGCCTCCGTGGTTTAGTGGTTAGAGCTTCCGCCCGGAGAGGGTACGACAAGGACTGGTTGGCTCGGAGTCAGTATAATGTGTCTGAATTCATGCTTCACTGTGGCATGGTATCTCAGTGGGCTAGCACTATAAAACCAGCTTAAGTCTGGGCTAGTACAAGCAGCCGCACTTACACATACACACGCATGCACGTCGTCATATGAGCGAAATATTTTCAAGCACGACGTTAAACCCAATTTCACCTCACCTCACCTTTAGAGAAGTAAATCAGTTGCTCACATATAAAGTAGGACATCTTACACAGAATCGAAAGAATAAGCAAACCTCAAGGTTACCACCTATGCAGAAACTAATTCAAGCTGTAGAATGTCGAAGATGTTATGTATGGTTTACCTTGAAAACAAGCGGTAGATGATTCTTGAATGAAAGTCGAAAATGTGTTGGTGAAACATATATATGTATATTTATACATCACTAAAATATATAATAAATATATAAACAGAATTTGTTACAAAAGCAATCCAACTTGAAGAGTCCCAAAATACAGGAAATAGCATTTAAGGGTATCTCAAGGGGGTAAAACACATTGATGGTTTTAAGAAAGTGTGTGAACAAAGGTATTCTATTGAGAAAATTAGTTTCTCAAGCAGATATAAACTCAATAAATTTTACACATAGTGGGCGTTCTATCATCCACCTTTCAGTTAGTCTTAGTAAGTATAAGTGAAATGTGAGTGAGTGAGTTTGGTTTTATGCCGATTTTAGCAACATTCCAGCAATATCACTGCGGGGGACACCAGAAATGAGTTTCATACAATGTACCCATATGGGGAATGGAACCAGGGCCTTTCTACCTTTTTCCTGATTTCAACCAGAGACCATATAATAGATTACATGGTCTCTGATTCAACAAAGAAGATGTATATATGTGCTTTTGTAGGCTTATGATTTGATTGATCACATACTAAATTGGATTATTGCGTTTCCAGAGTTCCACGATATGGTTCCCAAACACGTCGCGATAAAACCAAGACCTATTCGACCCCAGCCTCCATTCCAATGGGACTGTTGTCAAGAGGATAAACAAAATGTCAAAGAGCACGAACTCCACGTGCAGCTGACGGCTGTCCTGGCCGAGGTGGACACTCTCCGGGCTGACCTACGAGATGCTCGACACCGCTCCAAATGTCTGAAAATGAAGAATCAACATTTCAAGACACAAGCCAGACAACTCTCGGATGAGAAAGTGTCCCTCGGGGAGCAGGTGGACCGCTTGTTGAAGGAGGTGGACATGTTGAGAGCTGAAAGACTGGGTGTACATTCTGGAGCTGGAGAAGGTGTTGGACTTGTTCAGATGTCAGGGGCTACACAGACCTCGTGCATTGACCACATTGTGTCTCCTAAACAAGACAATAAGTCAACAAGACATCATGAACTCTCTCAAAATAATCTCACATCAAAGAAGCATATGTCATTCAGTACAGCCAGTGTGATCGAAAATTGTAATCAGAAACGAAATGTACAAAAGCCAAAATCAATCTTTCATCGTTTTACCAAACTGTTCAGAAGAAACAAATCCTAATGTAATTCAATCCTTTTTCATTGATGAAAATAACAACTGGTACAATTCATAAGCAATGGTTCAGTTGTTTGTATACACATGTCTGCGTCTAACAGCTACAAGATAAGTTGTATGGTTGCTGTTTAACACCACGCTCAGACATGTTCCTGCTACGGCTTGTAAATCCAGTGGAAGCGGTGGGGTAGCCTAGTGGTTAAAGCGTTCGTTCGTCACGCCGATGGCCCGGGTTCGATTCCCCACATGGGTACAATGTGTGAAGCCCATTACTGGAATATTGCTAAAAGCGGCGTAAAACTTAACTCACTGACTGTAAATCCAGTGATTGATATTGTAAGCAATAATCCATGTCTGTACTCTGTTTGATATTAGATGACACCCACTTAACCAAGTCACCGAGCCTAACAACCATAGTTGTTTGGTGGTCTCAAATGTCAAGCATATGTTTTATGGGGTCTTTTTCTAACCCCGAATCTCTCCCTGGGCACACAGCAAGAAGATATAGATCAACATGAACATATAGGAAACTAACATCACCACACTTCACTCAGGCATTCTTTCCTGTGTTGCTTCGACATACAGAGAGAAACAAATAAAGAAACACAGGAAAATTCAAGCGTTCCTTTTCCAGTTTTCATCACCAGTTTTGAATAGCGCCGTGGGGAGAGTCTGAGAATAAATAAAGGAACACTGACATGAAGTGGTGTTTCATTATTTATTTCCCTCAGTATATTACTCCAATTTTAGCAGTATTGTTCAAGTATGGTGGCAGTGATTCATTCAATATTGGGAATCGAACTCTTGGACGCATTAAGATTGAAAGCTTTAACCAGTTTCTGCCTAACGTCAGTTGAACGGTTGCAACTGTTTCATAAGTATGTGATTGTAAATCATTAATAAACAGAGGTGATACCAGGTGTTTAAGAATAGGAGAACGTATCATGCCTCCCAATGGCAGTAACACATGCACAGGCACGTCAACTATTCACCTGAACATACCCAGGAACATCCGATAGTCATAAGAATAGGGAACACGTCAGACACCATAGGGAAAATCTTCAACATGTGGAAAATAGGTTTGGGGAATAGCTAGTTCGCCTATCTGTATCGACTGTATCAAATAAATAGCAAAGCAACAGTTTAGCTTTTTCATAGATCTATTAATGAACTGATTGTCTGATATTTGTCATGAAGTTCTGACGCATTTGGACCAATTGATGTTAGTCAGGTAGTAGTATATATGTGAGGTTCTAGGGGCGAAACTACCTTTAGAGAAGTAAATTAGTTGCTCACATATACAGTAGGACATCTTACAAACAGAATCTAAAGAATAAGCAATCCTCAAGGTTACCACCTATGCAGAAACTAATTCAAGCTGTAGAATGTCGAAGATGTTATGTATGGTTTACCTTGAAAACAAGCGATAGATGATTCTTGAATGAAAGTCGAAAATGTGTTGGTGAAACATATATATGTATATTTATACATCACTAAAATATATAATTAATAAATAAACAGAATTTGTTACAAAAGCAATCCAACACGAAGAGTCACAAAATACAGGAAATAGCATTTAAGAGTATCCCAAGGGGGTAAAACACATTGATGGTGTGAACAAAGGTATTCTATTGAGAAAATTAGTTTCTCAAGCAGACATAAACTCAATAAATATTACACAAAGTGGGCGTTCTATCATCCACCTTTCAGTTAGTCTTGCCTAAGTATAAGTGAAAAGTGAGTGAGTGAGTTTGGTTTTATGCCGATTTTAGCAATATTCCAGCAATATCACTGCGGGGGACACCAGAAATGAGTTTCACACACTGTACCCATATGGGGAATCGAACCCGGGTCTTCGGCGTGATGAGCGAACGCTTTAACCACTAGGCTACACCACCGTCCCATAAGTGAAAAGCAGACACATAGTAAAAGCTGGCTGTTTATTTTAAACTCACAACAGTATTAGCATGAATGTGAGAGTTAATGAGTTTCTTTTTGTTTTAGACAATGTCAGAATTTCTACTAGTAAGCTTTTATACTGTACAAATGAGGGCCACCCTTTCCCTGGAGGTGATCCTCGATCTTGTAACAGGGACTTTCTGACAATAAAACCATTGAAATTAAATAATTTTAAAAAAAATAATAATATTTTCAA